GGTGAGGCAATACAAAATAGACCTTAATTCGACTTGATACCTAGGTATATAGCAATCGTATTGTCTCTCCATTTAAGTATGGGTCAGGAGTAAAAAGTTGATCGTAACATTTCTTTGCAGTAAGTATATAAGTAGATTCCTTGGTTCCCTTTCTTTCTTTCTTTAAGTACTCTCTCCGACAAAACTGATAGCTCTCGATTTACTAACTGCTCCCAGCAATGGACTCGCCCATTTTTCGCTGTACGCTCTAAACTTGCTAATTATTTACCAAGTCAATGTGCATTCGTTTGTTTCAATTCAATTGTTTACGTGTTCTTTAAATATGCAGAACCCTAAGTAATGCTTTGTATATTTAACATATAAACAGGATGTTTTAGTCACTAGCCATAGAAATATTTATTATATTATCTATGTCACTAGCGCTCTATCGCTGAAATTGCTATACTAATTTTGATAAACTAAAGCTATTTTAAAATCTGTAAAAGTTTTTAACTCGAAAGCTGATTTTACAACTTTGAACAATAAAAATTAGGCTAAAACAAAATTAGGTACCCTTTATCTATTTAATGATATTTAAACGCGGGAATACCATTTGAAAGAACTTTTAAAAAGAAAATTGCGTCCTATTAATCAACTCCAAATAATTACTAAGAAAACCTATATCAAACAAATTTAACAAACACAAACACAAAGCAATTGAACCTATTATTAGAAAAGACATAAAAACCGTTTTATGGCGCGATTTAATTCCTTTTTACTGCAAATCCTGGGCGGCCATATTGGATAGCTAATAATGATCAAAGTTCCACATTCAAAATATAACGGTTCGCCGGCCGATCGCTGGCAACTTTTTAATCGAGTTTTCAATGCGATTCTCGATCATTATGATGCTAATTGGGGATTACGAGTTAGTTCAAATTACCTGAACGGTTATCTTAGTGTATTGGAGGTGAGAAAACTTAGGTTTTTAGGGTCCTACTATTTATTTTGTGCTAACTAATCGATTCCATAACTTTATACCTTTTATTAACTAGTAGTTACTTTATCACCACTAATATTATTAGCCTTTTATCTGTTGAAACACCGGCTCCCGGTATAAAACACATTATAGGTACCCGCAACTTTCAACAGACAAGAGGTTAGGTGATAAGTATATTGCCACATATGAGACGTTATTCCAGACTTCATGTAAACAGGATATTTTTTTTAAAACAGAAAAAAACTACCATGCTCTCTTTTCCCGACCCAGGAGTCAAACCTAAAACCCCTAACTTGACTGTCACATTTGTTCGCTCGCTATTGAAACGTTTTTTTTTTGTTTTATACTCCTGTTAAACCTTATGACCTGTGTAAATAGATAGAGAGCGCTTGTCTGTCTATCTCGGTCGGTATATGAAGTAAACACGGTAGGAAATGGAACTAACAGCAGTTTAGGTCAGCGCCATCTATACAAAACTAAGAGAAGTAGATCACACGGCCCAGACGAAAGATTAAGTACAGATAGAGACGGCTCAATTGCAAGTTGCTATAACACGAAGATAGATGGCTCAGTTTGCGAAAACTACATAAAGCAATTAAAATAGTAAAAAGTGTGGACAAGTATCCTGAAGAATGATAATGAATAAAATAAGTAAAATGTACAATAGAACTATTTATTACATAATTATGACGCATAGTATGTTAAACAATTTCATAATGTTGAGTTAGAGTTTGTTTATTTATTTTTATTTTATACTTTATTATTAGCCGTGGGCGTCCCCCTGCAGGGTAAAGGCCTCCCTACTCTCCTTCCACTCGTCTCTTCTTATAGCTTTCTGTGGTCAAGTTCATTCCGCCATCTCCTTCTGGGCATACCGCGACGTCTATTGGCATTGAGTGGGCTCCACTCAGTTTGTTAATTGATAAATACTAAAAAATTGCTGCCTCGTTTTCCAAGTGGTCGCAATTGCGACTGGCGGGTAAGGGGTCTCGGGTTTGATTCCCGGGACGGGCAAAGTATTACTAGGTTTTTAAAAATTCTCAGTAGTAGCACGGAGCCTGGAACTGTGCCCGGTATATGGTATGTATATGGTATGGTATGCCCATAACATAAATAGTGAAAAGTGGGTGTTACATTGTGCAGTGGTATAATGTGCACCTCTGCCTACCCCTTCGAGGATACCTACCTAGTCTGCGACATCAAAAATACGTCCATATCTCACATGTCATTCTTAAAAAAAAATTACTAGGCCATAAAATCACTTTTTGAGTAACTTTTTCGTTTTTGAAATTAAGCATTTCGTTTTTGAAGTTAAGTAGTTACTCATCAGAGGATAAAGAACGAACTTTTTGAATACGGCTTAGAAATAAACCAAGTAAAATAAAAACTAAGCAAAACATATAACGCAGCAATAATAAATCTAAGTATATAGGCATCTAATTATAACCTAGGTACTGCTGACAGACAGAACCTATGACATAGCTTACACAACAGGGATTGAAAGTGTCAGTAACGTACCCATAATATAATATATGAAAAGTGAAATCTCATTTCAATTCAGATCACGAACCGAGTCTATACTTGCTATATTACAAATAATATAATCTATGATAATGTAGCAAGATATAGGACTCGAAGAAAATATCAATATAATAATGATTGTGTGAATTATGAAAGAGAAAAATGTTTTTTTTTAAGGGGGGTAAATCATCCAATTACTACTCCCTCCTGGGTGAGGCGGGAGGGAGTGTCAGACTCTTACTGACTAAAAACCACCCCGTTCTTACTCCTGCCCTTAAGTCAACCCGTTAAGTCCTCCGCGGCTCCGTATCGGCACCCGTTTCTTCTCCTGCGCGTCGAGCCGGAGCCCTGGTAACACGTTAGGTTCTCCGCGACGAGAAAAGAGTACAGGATGGCAACTAACTCTTTTCTGGAAGCCGCATCAAAATCAGTTCACCCGATCGCGAGATAAAAGCGCATGAACACACACCTACAGGTGTGTAAACCGCGATTTAGTAGTATATAAGTAACTGTTTTATTTTGCACATGCACCCCTGCATTCTCCTTAGAGTAATGAAAGATGTCTACCTATTACGAAGTCAAATCACCTGAATATAAATTTTGAACCAATAACACATAACATAAAAAACATAACATCACGCCTTTCATCCCCGAAAGGGTAGGCAGAGGTACATATTATACCACTGTACAATGTAACACCCACTTTTCACTATTTATGTTATGAGTCCAATGTAATAGGGGGTGAGCCTATTGCCATATATACCGGGCATAATTCCAGACTCCGTGCTACTACTGAGAATATTTAAAAACCCAGTAATACTTTGCCCGATCCGGGAATCGAACCCGAAACCCCTTGCCCGGCAGTCGCACTTACGACCACTCGGGCAAAGAGGTATTGAACCAATAACTGAAGTACTTTACAAATGTGGCTGATAGACGGACGATGCAACGAACAATTTCAATCAAAACCAGTTATTTACAGTGTACCCAAATAGACACTCATCTCTAAAAAGACACAAAACTGTTTGTGTAAGACAAAACAGTTTGTATTGATAGTCGAATGACGTTAAATATAAACTACTAGACATTCCAGTGGACTTGTCAATGTGTAACAAACAATTGTAGCAGAACAATTAATTGTATGGACTCCGGTCGTTGGTCGACCTATTAACCTAGCCAGGGGCGCGCAACTTTGTTTATTAATGTTCATTATGTGTCACAGAGATATCTATTTATTTATAACTAGCGACCCGCCCCGGCTTCGCACGGTTGCAATATGCATGTATTATGCATATACCCCTTCCTTAAGAATCACTGTATCTATTAAAAAAACCCGGATCAAAATCCGTTGCGTAGTTTTAAAGATCTAAGCATACATAGGGACAGACAGACGGCGGATAGCGACTTTATTTTATACTATGTAGTGATTTGGACAACCAGTAGTTGTTACATTTTTCTTTATTTAATTTTTTTATACCTACCATAATGGTGGCAAGAAAAGCACACGGCTCACATAATGGTAAGTGGTTACCGTGGCCTATGCACGCGAAAAGGTTGCCGGAGCTCCGGATCCAAGTGCAGAAGTAGGAACAGGGTCGTTTTTATTCAGTAAGAGTCTAACACTCCGTCCCTCCTCGCCCAGGCGGGAGAAGTCATTCGATGATTTTCCCCCTTAAAAAAATGGTTCCTCCTAATCCTGTATATCGCAAGTCAATGGTCAAAATAAGACAGTCATAGATATGTATAGAATAACGTCTTATAAAATATTCCGTCGGATACTTTATGATATATTCTAATTAATATCTAAAATCTTTATTGCCCCGATGGGTTTAGTAAAATAGTAATAATAGTCAATAACAACACATCGAGCCACCACAAAACTGCATTGATATCAGAGAAAGAATCGCGCATTCTTTTAGTTTTTTACCATTGAATTGAAAGCGAAAAAATGTTGAGCGCTTCTCTCTTTTTCGCGATGCGCGCCGACCTTTCGCGCATGCGTACAACATCTAGTCTGCTGCGCGCGCGCACTCTTACGGACGTACTGCGACAAAATACAAAATGGCGTCACTCGCGATAAATGAATAACCGTTGTTTATCAATAAAAATAGTTTTTATTACTCAGCTGTAGATTAAGAATTATAAATAAAACAGTGCTACCAAAAATATAATTGTTGCTATGTGATTCGACAATAATTATCGGGTTTATTTTAATGAAATAAATTAAAATCGCATAATATACAGTTTCATTTATAAAATTCATCATAAAAGACCAATCTAAATAACTGTCAAAGATGTTATATTAAATATTATAACATAAAAAACAACTAATTATACCTTACCTATTCACATTTTAATTGGGAAAAAAATCAATAGCTACAACTTTATATAAAATAAAATCTCTATTTGAAAAACTAAATCAAGTAAATGAAGAATGTGATAGAAAAAGTAAAACGTAACTAGGAATTAAAGTGTTTGTGAATCAGATTGACTGTGGACTATGACAATGTGGTGGTTATTGTTATCCATACTCCCACTGGGGCTGGTGAGCTCCAATAATAATGCGACTGAGCACCCCCTTAATATAATAGGGTAAGTCTTATCACATCCTACTTCGAGACGAGTTTCTTGCTCGTTCTTCTCCATTCGAAGCTACACTTTGGAACGAGAACTTTGAAATTCAATTTGACGTTTCAAAAGTGTCTAATCAAGGATTAATAATAATAATTAATATAAATGCTTTGACTTTGACTTTTCTTATAATGTATGCTAATGGATGTATGATGTATGTTATGACAATAGATGAAAGTCTGTGCAAAACCTACTGATCTGAATCTCAACGTTTGCCATGAAGAAAGATTGTCAAAATATTATATGCTACTGTTCATCCCGGTAACGTGGACGAACCAGGTGGCAGAAGCTAGTCTTAACATAAATGCTTACTCGTAAGTAAGTAAGAATGAATGTATGTATGTCTGTTACTATTTTAAACAAAACTGCTTGTCGGATCTGAATGAAATTAGACGTGGAGATAGATTAAAGTCGAAACTAACTATTTATATATATATCATAAGCAAGATTATTTAGTCTCTTATCTAACTGTCTTGTAAGACATTGAACCAATAGTCTTATTGCTGTACGATCATCGAATTGTCTCCACTAAAACTTGATCTTCAGATCTCATTTGAAGTCTTACACCATAAGAATGAAAATTGCATTGTAATTTAATTTTATAGAATACGTTTGAAAGAACCGACTTCAACCACTCTTTTCTTGAAGTCAGTTAATGAATATACTAAAACCTTCTCCTAAGTGTAACAAACAATTTTCTGAAAACCGCATCAAAATTGGTTCTGCCAATAGCGAGATAATCCCGCACAAACATAAAAACATACAAACATACAGGTCATATTAAAAATCTCCTATTTTTCTTTTTGAAATTGTTTAATAAGACTTCGAGTATGTTGAGAAAGTATTAAAAAAAAACATTCGAATGATAAAAGACTACATACTAAACTTTTCGTAGTTAACCAATTTTAAAAGACTACTATACTATTCATAGTATCAACTCTGAAGCTGCCGATATCAAATCCAGAACCTCTCGCTTCCGATCAATCGAGCAACTAACTATATCTTAACTCAGAACAGTACAGTTTATATCAAAGGGCTTATACAATACATCTTAGACTGACTGTTTACTAATACTGCGACATGACTCATCACACTCATAGGTACAGACTCCACATAAGAGCCGTATGCGTAATATACGTATATGGAGCATCTATAAAACTGATTATAGTATTTTACATTAATCTAAATAGTTATCCGCACGTACCAATACTTAAAAGGAGGTTAGAATACTCTTTGTAGGGTTCCTATGCTCTTTTAGAATGGTCGAAGTCAAGGTTTCCACACGTGGAAGAAACAAGATTCGGTGTGAATGTCTCAACCGGACTCCGGAGTGAAAGAACGCTTTCAGTGTGCAAGTCGTCCATTATTGGAGAACTCCCCCAAAGACTTTAAAATGGGCCAATTGGATTTGCATTGTATTGATTTTTAAGTGTGGGAGAGCCATGCTTCGGAACAAATGGGCCGGCTCGCGGTGTGATATCACGGCCTCACAGAAAACCGATGTGAACGCGTTGCGTTGTATTTCGTCGTGTGGGGTAGGTACCGGAGACCCCATTTAGCCTCGCCCCTTCCCCAATATCCTAATCCCTGAATCCCAAACAATCCTTAAATGCCTAATCTTAAGTCTCAAAAGTCAGTGACGCACTTGTAATGCCTCTGGTGTAACAGGTTTCCATGAGCGGTGCCGATTGCTTACCATCCGTTTTACAACTTTGCCAAACCTCTTCCGTGCCCACCTCTTTGACTGCAAAACGACCCTCAACTTCTTCTTCAGGCTTCTACGATGGCAGTTATACCGTGTTGAAGGCAGGAATTGGGACGGCGTAGTTTTAGTCACTAAATGTCTGTACTCTGCCCAGGCCGAAAGAGGTCATTAAGTGATTTTCTAATCTCAGAAAAAAGGCTTCGATTAACCTCCAATTAAGAAAAAGCAGTTATTTATATATACCAATCCACTTACACATTATAATTTCCTATACTCCAAACATAGACGGCTGCATTCATCTTAATCGCCGTGAGCATTAAACATTGGCTGCGCGTGCGCCGGTAGCTTGTTTTAATAACAAACAGATGTGGTTCTTAGAACAAGTTAACGAGCAATTCATACCGCGGTCATTATTTGAAACTTGATGCTTTAGATGTTGCAGGATGTAGGAGGGACGGGAAAGGAAATGCAAGTATTAAAGTAGTATGTTAAGGTTCAAATTGCAAAAGTTAAGTTTAGTAATGGACGTGTAGAAATGGTGTCTCAACTATACCTATTTTATGACTGAATGGTTGGTGCAGAGTCTAGGCGACCAGTAATTCACCAACGTGTCCCAAATTTTATTTGCACGCTTTAGTTTGATACCCAAATTCATAATCTTCTTGGATATAGTTATGTGTGATGTATAATAATAATATTTGGTTTTTTAATTTTGGAAAAGGACTTCGACTTAGAAATAAAATCTACTCTGTGACCATAACCACGTTTTTGAAATGTTTTGGTTTAGAGTAAAAAAACTCAGTTCCAAAAACACCACTTCGTTCTTTATGTTTGAACTATGTACTAATAATGATTTTCGTAATGGCATTGCTCTGTAGTGTACCAGTGCAAAGACAATTTTGTGAGAGCAAATATCATGTCTGTATAAACGTGATTTTGGCATCTAGTGCTCATGAGTTTAGCTCCATTTTCATAAAACGATTTCATTTAGAGTATCAAATTAATATCAATGAAAAACATCATCATCAGCTTCATATTGAGGTGCACTGCTAGACATAGCCTTCCTTAAAAAGCAACAGAAACATTGTTTCTATCCATGAGATCTTGGTTGTCTATGAGATCTTGGTATTACTTCGGTTGAGCCGGCTCAATCGAGCATAGCTCTCCCATGTGGGAAACACTCAATTTTATAATACCTCTAATATTCTCTTCTCTTATAATATCTTCATGTCATTGAGACGTGTCAGATTTTAATATTCCGGTGGTTTCATGGTAGTATCTTTTATTGTAGATCCTGGCTTAAAAGAGTTGCAGCTGTTACTCTTTTTCAACATTTACGCTTTTGTATCTATACGAGCACCATCTACTGAACCTATATATTGCCTTACAAGACCCATCAGACAAACAATAGAAATAGAAAATCGTTAACAATTAAAGGTAATCATTAAATCATCATCATAGTACATATTTGTAACGACGCTGAAGGTCAGTGGGACCTTGATTTTTATGCTCATCATTACAAGGAAACACGTATTCAATTGATTTCATCATTTTTTTGTTCCATGGTATTCATAATTGTTGCCAGGGCCGGACTGAACGAATGGGGCCTTTTGTGTTATAAGTCCATTAAAATAATAATAAGTAGGAAAATATAGCAAAGTATAATTTCTTATATCCATTGAAAAGAGGATAGCTTTTGAAAGTGTGCCACAGCTTATTAAAGACTTCGTGCTATTACTAACAATCATACAGTTAAACCTTCTCACATCAACAATCTCATGATCATAAAAATGGTTTATGTCGATACCTTTTTTTAAAGGGGGAAAGTCATCGAATGACTGCTCCCGCCTGGGTGAGGTGGGAGGGAGTGTCATACTCTTACTGACTAAAAATCACCCCGTTCCTTCTCCTGCACATCGAGCCGGAACCCAGTTAACCCGTTAGGTTCTCCGCGACTTATTGATACCTTTAACCTCTTATCTGTCGGGTATATCTACGTTCTGGCAAACCAGGGGTTAAGCTTCTGATACCGGCAGGAATCAATTGAAAATAAATCCGTTCAAATCAAAAAAACCTGCAAGAAACTCTGCTTTATGATACCAAATTGTAACTTCAGATCCAATGTCTCTAACGGCAAAATCGTTGCATTAAGAACGATTTTTCTCATTACTTGTGTAGAATTTCTGTCAAAAACAAAGATGGATCTAAAGATTTTGCGCTGGTTTCTGTGGGCCGCTGCTACGGGTACCCAAGAAGTCCCTACCTAAATCCAACTCTGTATGTACTCGGTTTATTGATATGAGACACAGAATAAAAACACAAGTGCTATGTAGGTGTATGTACTAGCCATTGAAGATGTATTTAAATAGAATTCATGTAGTATGGGTTTTTTGTCCATTCGACTGTTGAAAGAGGTTTTTGTCTTATGATTTGTCTTGGTATTATGCCATTATTGTTTTTAAATATTCAACGTGATTTTCATTTAAATGATTATTACTGAGAACGGCTTGGACACGTGTTAAAAAATAAATAGAGTTTTCTCATCTTTGCATATTTTTTGTTTTTTTTTTTATTTTTTTTTTTTGTTTTATTTTTTAGACTAAGATTTTCTTATGTGTCGTGGGAGCGTACTTTACAAACATATAATTTGACATGTTACACGCACACATTACACTCAGACCCGAAACAACAATATGTGGATCGTACAAAGAGTTGCACCGTGCGGGAATCGAAACCGCTACCCGTTGCACGGCAGCCAGTTGCCCAGCCACCGCGCCAACCGTGCAGTTTACCTTTATTTTCCTAATATAATCCCAAATAGAAGAAGGATCCAAATACAATCCCACAAATACAATACATACGTGGGTGTATTATACATGTTTACCTCTTCTGTATAAGTTACATCCGGAATACATACAAAATACAAAAAAAAATGTATTTTATTTCTGAACCAAATATTTTTTAACACACACACATACATTTTACGATAATTATTATTTTATGTGTACTTATGTTAAGTTCCAAATAATTATTAATTGCTACATTTGTGAAGTACGCCATGATGATATCACCAAACGATTGGATTTTGCCATTAAAAGATTTATACAGACATTTTTTTTTATCAAAAGCATTCGTACTTTGAATTTTCAATACATCGTTGCGTTTACTCATATTTACGAAATAACACATTAATTTAATACAATTTGTTTAGATTTGGGACTTATTTGACTCAGTTTCAAATTCATGTTTGTTTTTATTTAGTTTATAATAATCAGGCTAATAGGGTAGATGACTAATTTTTATTTTAATGTCCGTCTAATAGATTACTTTAAAACATTAGACATGTATTTTTAATTTTTTTACGGAAACTAATAGTTTCGAAAATATATTGATTTGAAATGTCGTGTGACGTCACTTCTCTACATTTTATACGTAGAAATTACGTTTTAAACTTTGATTTGTTATATCTAAGTATTGTTTTATTATACAACATAATAAAAAAAACGTGTCTAATATTTTTTCATTACCTAACTAACGGACTAATTACATTTTTAATTTTTGTATACTGTCATCATCATAGCTTCACTTCTAATTTTATAGTTGACGTTCAAAAGTGCCTTTCTTGTTTTGACTTTGACTTTGACATCCCTATTGGGGTTAGAAGGCAATTGCCATTCTAGCCGGTCTGATGCCGAAATTTTTGTCACGATATCCTATATACTGTCCTATATACTACCCCTCTTTACAAGAAATAACTAGACAACAAAATAACACCTAGGTCTTTGTTTCAGCAACCCTTGCACGGACAGGAACCACATGTTCTTGGCACCAGGAGTGCTGACTGCTGGCAGCATGAACAGGGCTTGTATCTCCAGGTTCCATACTGAAGGACCAGCTCGCATGACTCTCAACCTAATGACAGAAGACAGGCAATCACAGACAGCTTCTAGGGAACTCGCTGCAGGTATGATTTTGATTTACTGTGTCATTGTGATTGGTCGATGGCAAAAAGGCTTGAGTGGGGTGGGGGACATCGCCGCGACCGCGCACGCTGCTCATGAGAAAGAGTCCCTCTGTGACTCGAAACTAGTAGAGCTTTTCTCAATATTGTTACGTGAGCACCTCTCGTGAGCAATTTTTAGTTAATTTAGCATGTCTCACGATAGTTATTATAAAAACATAGTCCTAAGTTAAACTTCCGGATGTTTTTGGGGTCTTGTCAGTGCACCTCTGCTAGCTCCTTCAGGTATAACGCCTAGTTGTAATGTACTTTATCTTGCTTTGTAACCCCGACGTAAACAGAGTTTGTCTTTGTTTTTTTTTTTTATAAAATGTTGCCCTACATTAGGATTTTCTCCTGTGTCGTGGGTGCGTTGACAAACATACAAGTTCACATACACATGACACACAGACCGGGAACAACAATATGTAGACCACACAAAGAGTTGTTCCGTGCGGGAATCGGACCCGCGACACGTTGCGCGGCAGCCAGTTGCCTAACACCAGCATCAACCGCGGAATAACTCTTACTGTCTTAAATCATATGATTCCTAATAGGTACCTATCCTGTCTTCGTTGTTCACAGGTGATGGTGGGTGTCTGGACATCAATGTACCCTTGCTGCCAAATTCTAAAGCAGACTTAGTCGTAAACATCAGGTAAGGATAACCAACTCAACAATTAGAGGTTAGGTCAGAGTACCATTATCTTGCAGAATATCAACGTGAATTGGTAACGTAATAATATTGTATTTCTTGTGTATCTGTGGTATACTCTATGGTCATAGTATAGTCTATGGTGATAGATTATCTATGTGCGTGGCGGAGCCCGCGAATTGGTAAAACAATTGAAGACGAATAAATGTGTGTGTCGATAGCTTTCTCTATTTTTATTTATGTATATTTCGTTTGCTTAAATAACATACTTAACAGTATTAGAGTTTGTTTTATACTGCCATTTTTTTCTATGAGTCTTGCGGGGGTAAAAAATGGAAGTATCGCGCATTTAAATATTTTCTCAAGTGATTTTGACCAAATAAAGACTTGAACTTTCGGGGACATGTGGGAGAGCCATGCTTCGGCACGAATGGGCCGGCTCGACCGGAGTGATACCACTGGCTCACAGAAAACCGACGTGAAGCAACGCTTGTGTTGTGTTTCATCATGTGAGTGAGTTTACCGGAGGTCCAATTACCAATTATCAGCCAATCCCTGAATTATAATTTATTTATTAATAATAAAGGTACATGGTATGCCTTATAATCTAACGCCATGTCCAACAAAACTATATGTAAATAGTTTGACTGTTGGATCTTCTATATTTAAATTACTATTTAGTAGGTATTTGTAGTTTACTATGATAATGGTTATGGTTATGATTAATTTTAAATACATGTGGTTATGGTAGTGTGCTAAACAGATATTTTTTTAATTTAGTCTTAAATCTCCAACCTTTCTCAAATTCCTAATCCCCAAGAGGCCGGTAACGCACTTGTGACAAGTTGTCTGTGTGTCTGGTGTTCAAGGTGTCCATGGGCGACGCCGATTGCTTACCATCAGGTGTTCCGTCTGTTCGTTTACCAGCCTATCCCATAAAAAAAGTCTCTTTCGTGTATATTCTAAATTGTTCTTTCTTCCAACTAGATATCCTGAGGCTCAATGCGTATGGGAGCGTCGTGTTCCTCTCCGTATCTCCAGCGGACGAGTGGTAGTGCTCTCTACGGAGCGCGCGCGCTACCGGCCTGGAGAGACGGTGCGCCTCCGCATATTGGCGCTACGACAGGACCTCGCACCCTCGCATGGAAATGTGAGTCTATTTTTACTTCGTATTTCATTAATTGTACTAAAAGATATGAGAAGTTTAGTGTTAACAATTTTAAATTAGTAGGTGTAGAAGCTATAGATATGGTTCTTATATGTCAACTGCAATGAGTTTTTGATAATAATAACCGACAGCAGAAGCAATGATTTCACAGGAGATCAATTGACGGATATCGCTACATATTCTCCTGACTATAAGTCTGCTTAGATCTTTAAAACTACGCAACGGATTTTGATGCGTTTTTTTTAATAGATAGAGGGATTCTTAAGGAAGGTTTATATGTATAATACATGAATATTGCACCCGTGCGAAGCCGGGGCGGGTCGCTAATTTATTATATTTAATGTAGTTTATCAATATCTAAAGAAAACCTCAGTTGTGAAATAAGATTGTTACTTATTGACATAACCAAAAACCTACACTGAAGAACTGTCATGATTCCTGACACCTTTATTGAAGAATTCTCAAAATTTTGTACGAGGTCCGAACCTGATCTAATTTGCATGATCGTGTTCACGGCCGACCTCATGCAAGGTCCAATATTGGCCTTACATCGTCATTAGTCCACAATAAATTCATTGTTGAATAATTTTACGGCACATTCATATATTAAATCATGTTCACACTTTGTCACCATATCATTGTTATTTGCTTCCTAGATATTGTTTATTTAGAGGTAATGTACGGTTTTTCGGAAAATTGTCGGAAGTTTAAATACAATCATACATAACATTACGCCTTTTAGGTGCATATTACGGCAATTAGTGCCACTGTACAATGTAACACCCACTTTTCACTATGTATGTTATAAGTCCCATGTAATAGGGGGTGAACCTATTGCCATACACCAGGCACAATTGCAGACACCGTGCTACCAATGAGTTTTTTTTAAACCCAGTAATACTTTGCCCGTTCCTGTAATCGAACACGAGACCCCTTGCCCGGCAGCCGCTCTTGCGACTATTCGACCAACGAGGTAAATACAATTACAATATATGCCATTACATCTCCTAGATGTTATCGTTGCATTGATAAACTTGAGTGGTAGAATACAGCATCAAGTCCGCTTTATATAAGATACATGATTTACAACAAACAGTTGAACTGTACAGATTTTCTTGAAGATATAGGCTGTATGGACCAACGATTTAACTATACAGTTCGACTGTACAGTTAAAACAAGAGGTGTGTCGCCTAAATTATGTCCCATCTTTTCAGTGCGTGTACATACAATAGGGTAGATGACTAATTTTTATTTTAATGTCCGTCTGATAGATTATTTAAAAACATTAGACACGTATTTTTTATTTTCTCACAGAAACGAATAGTTTCGAAGATATATTGATTTGAAATGTCGCGTGACGTCACTTCTCAGTACATTTTATACTAAGAAATGACGTTTTAGCCCCCACTCCTAAACTTTGATTCGTTTTATCTAAGTATTGTTTTATTATACGACAAAATAAAAAAATACGTGTCTAATATTTTTTCATTACCTAACTTACGGACTAATTATATTTTTAATTTTCATACCCTGTCATCATCCCCATTCTAATAAAAATAAATTACAATAAAAATAGCCTGGAATAGGCAAGGAATGAACTGCATAGCGCCTTCAAGCTTCTATCACATTCATTCATCTAGTCCTGTAGGTAAGCAAAGCAAACAATCCTGTTTCTGAAGTCACCCTGCAACTTGTAGGACTACAAGGCTGGTTGTACCAGTTCATTACTGTTATAAGAAACAACATAACTCTGTGCAGGCTGATTGGAATCCGCTGTTCAAAAAGTTCAATGTTTTTTGTACCTGGTTTTTACCTTAACCCCACACTAGGATTTTGTCCTGTGTCATGGGTGCGGGTGCGTTTACAAACATACAAGTTCACATACACATGACACCCAGAAACGAAACAACAATCTGTAGGCCTCCCGTAACTTCACTCACACGACGAAATACAATTGCTTCATGTTGGTTTTCTGTGAGGCCGTGGCATCACTCGTGTCGAGCCAACCCATTTGTGCCGAAGCATGGCTCTCCCACACTTAAATTAACATGTTCGCTTAATAATAATTACACTCGTCCATTTTAATCCACGTTTTAGTATAACCCTAACGTAATGATTTTTCCGAAGTTATTGGGGGAGGCCTATGTTCAGCAGTGGACGTCCTATGGCTGATATGATGATGATGATCATGATTGATTTTGGTGACTGCTGTTTGGTACTTATGCAGTACCTATGTACTGCATAAGTACCAAACACACACCACACCAGCAACGTTTTTGTACATAAACTACATAACATACGTACTATGCGCAAACCATATCTTCAAGATCAGGGTTTTCACCCCTTAAAAAAAAGGTCAGGGTTGCCAGATTATACGATATTCAGAATAGGGTTGCCAAAGCGATAATATTTTTTGAGGAAAAAATATCATTTTCAAAGGTTCCTACTTTACGTGGCTAGCATATTTTTATGAAGGTAATGGTTAATACTGTGAAAGCTGTTGGTTGATCGTATATAGAGGTACATACCGTCTTTGCCGTATGATACAGGCAGAACATACATTTACCATTTAGCATCGGCACAGGTCTAATATTTAAATATAGTATATGCCACGCAGACGCACCTGTTTCTTTATAAGTGAGTATACCTGCGCCGATCGGTACCAATCCGTATAGATCTGTTTCTTTGTATAAGCACCATTAAGGCTAACACATTTATCGGTAGGCAGCAGCCACAGATGGATAACGAGCTGTTGATTTCGTTGTTGACAATTAAACTAAAAACAATCAACTGTAAACGTTAAAACTTTCATCAGCCCTTATTCCCAATTCGGGCTTTATCCTTTTTTAACCTTGACATCTCTATCGCATCTGTTTAATATTTTATACAGTAGCGTATGAATACTTAACAAGTATTACTTTATACCCAAAGTTCTGAGCTGGATCTAAAAATTTGGTATTTTCAAGATCCGCGTGAATGCCCTACACATTCATTTTACTGAGTGCAGCATTGACATTCTTGATTTTTAATTAATATTCGTTTGTTTAAAAATATTCACAATAACCTTTGCATATTAATTCTTATTTACATTTTTTATTTAATAAGAACTATTTTACAATTTTATAAATTTACACACAAAGATCGAGACCTCAAATATCGAACACGCAACACGGTGTACAACAGCTGATCCCATAGCCATAACATTATATTCAAAAGTTTAAGAACAAAAATAATGATTAATTCAATTTATTTATACCTACTGCGAGTCGTGCCGTAAAATCTAACTAAAACAATGTCACCTAAACAATTTTCGAACAAATATTAGAATACAAACACACACTTCCGTACAGAACTTTCAACTTAAACAAGTATAAACATAAGTATCATATTTAAATAAGCAAATATTGACATTGCAAAAAGTGCCGCACTCATCAAATACGCGGGAAAATCGTAACATGGCGGACGTCCCACTGACACAATTTGCCATTTTGTATTTACATACGGAGACTCGCGTCGTTGCCTTATTTTTTGTAATTAATTTTTCCTCACGCCTATATTGGTATAATGTTGTTTAATTGTAGAGTTTCACGTAAGTTTATTCAGTTAAGTAAATGTTGATATTGAAGTACTTAAATGCGAAGAGAACTCGTTATTTATGGCAGGTTTATTAAGTTAAAGATCTCTTTTCAGATCCGATATGTCAAGTAAAGATAGTGTACACGGATTCGGCTGTAAGCACAATATTTGAACATAAAATGTCTGATTTTCGCCACTCCCTTATGCATCATAGTGTCAGAGGACGACAAACCCAAATCCCAATAATGTAAATTTGCCTTTAAAAAAAGAACTATACTCGGAATTTTAATTCGATTCCAGATTTGACAATTTCAGTGTGGCAACGTTATGACAAGTACTAAATAGTGACGTTGCGAAATTATTTGATATGTAAATGCAATATTTCTGGATCGATCGTTCTCGTTTATAAGAATTATAATTTTACTCTCGTGAACTAAGTATATCAGGAAATTAAATATTTCTGAACCGATAATTTAGTTCTGACGATTAATTAACGATCTGAGACGTTTCTTTATATAATTGTGTGTGAAATAAATAAAAATTTGTAATCATGAAGGAACATGACAAATAAAACAGATAGATGTATTATGGTAATAAGTTATTTTATAAATTGTCGCCGTCATCGCTATCTCTACCCTGTCACTTTATGTAACATTTATTATAAAACACACACACTGATTGTTTATCGATTTTTGTGTGCACTATTAAATGTGGTATCGTTATTTCACAAAATGACAGTAGCTATTGTCAAATCTGGAATCTAATTAAAATTCTGACTATATATGAAAACGAGGTTTAAACGATCAAAACAGATAAGAAAGAAAGCAGTCAGTGAAAAAGAAAAAGACGATTTGTCTAATCGTCCATGTCACCCACCTATCTTCACAAACATCAATGTTTAAGAATTCGTCATAAAAAGTCCCCATGAAACCTGCTGCCCCGGTCGTACCACCATACATCGGTACAACTGACACAGTTTAACAAAACCTGCTCAAACAACCTGAGGATTTCACTTGAGACCATAAAAATTAAAATAAGTATATTTTTACTCGGACAATTTCACTTTTTCGTCAATAATTGTTTTCAATGTAAGTGCTTATTAAAATAATGATTGCTATCTACTTTCTTTGATATGTTTGTGGGACGTTGGTAATTAAAATCAATAAAGGTTTTTGTGTTTTATATTGAGCCATATTTCTGAGTTTGATTGCCTCTTTTGCTGCGATCATGATTTATTTATTTATTTATATAGGTATACCATCAGCTTCTGTATACATAGTACTAAGAAATAACAAAGGTAACAATAGATTAGGCCTATACAGTCCCCAATTATAGGTTAACCAACATTTATAGATAGCGAGAGAACATACAGTATTAAGACAGAATTTACATTACATCACAATCTTTACATATATTGCTTTCCAATGCGCTTTTCACCCTTTAAATTGTGATTATGAATTCCATGTACCAAAGAGTAAAGCCTATTGCCATACACCGGGCATGATTCTAAACTCCGTGAGATAAGAATTATACGGTAAACCCAGATATGAATCTCAAGGCTCTGTAGTCGCATTTACCACCACGATTCGATCCACGAAGACAATTCTTGATACAAATTTAATCGTTGACTATGGAACTATTTACTAGTGTAAATCACTAAATAGTTAACATTTCATCGTCAAATTCTAATCGATCGATTGTGAAATAATCAAATCGAGTCTAGTCGATTTGAAACAATTTCTATGCTAATTGTCCTGTGATAGTTGTACCTATTAATTTACTATTTCCTCATTCAAATATCTGGAAGTCCTTAGTCCTTATTGATGTTGCAATGAACCAATCATTCGGCAGCTTATTCGATATTTCTGCATAATATTCACAAATTAAAATGTACACTAACTGTCTTCAAACCAAGGCTAATTTAATCTTGTGTGTGGCGACACTAATGTGTTGACATTTTTTTCGACCCTATAGCGTTAGCACGCCAGTCGTCTCCCAGCTTTGGTGTTAACCAGTAATATTTTGTAATCTAGAGGTACCTCTATATATATAAAAGAAAGTCGTGTTAGTTACACCACTTATAACTCAAAAACGGCAGAATAGATTTGGCTGAAAATTGGTAGGGAGGAGGTAGCTTAGAGCCAGGAGACCGACATAGGATACTTTTTAACCAACATTTTTTTTTTTACTTTTTTACCGAAAATCACGAACGGGGACGGTAAAAAATGGGATTACGCGTACGAAGTCGTGGGCAGAAGCTAGTAGGTATTATAGATTAGTTGTGAATTGTGTATTTCTTAGAACAATATAAACACTAAGTTTTACCTATTTCATTTTGGACTATCATTGAACACACGAACTATTCTGGAGTCAAGTGAATTTAAATAAGAATACACACCACATTCTATGTATATGTAAAGGGCGTCCAAAAATGCGTTGCGTGAACATAACCATCCGAAACTATTGAATTAGGGATGCAGAAATTAGGGAAGTCTGGCAGAATTAGGAGGAAAGCTATGAAAAATGGGTTAAAATGATGGTGATGGAATAAAGTATATTTATGTAAAATGTTGGATGCTATATTGCAATACAATAATGCATTACGGTCTTAGATTACATCTCTGACCATCCATTCAGAAATATTAATCACGACGATGTGTTATAGTTAGCTCCTATTATTTATTCTTTTAATGACACATTGTTTTATAGTGAAAGGTTTCTACTATAGTATTGTTTGAATAAATACTCTAGTTTCTGTAACAGTTAGTACTGCGGTACTTCCTGCGATAAATCTTGTAAAAATAATACAAAAAAATAAAAGTTTGTGATAAATTGGCGTCAGATAGGAGGATTGAGAATGGGCATATTATTTTATTACAGACTATGAGGATAAGGATAGGAAAATAAATACAGTAATTTAAATATTGAAAACTTTTTAAAAATTATCTTTTTTACATTTATGGTGGCTCTAAGTGTGGGAGAGCCATGCTGGGTAGAAAGACCGGAGTATTACCACGGCCTCACAGAAAACCGACGTGAAACAATGCTTGCGTTGTATTTCGTCGTGTGAGTGAGGTTACCGGAGGCCCAATTACCGCCCTCAACAATCTCCCCAATTCCCACCATTCCTTAAATTCCTAATACCCAAATGGCCGATAACGCTTCCAGTGTTCCGGGTGTCCACGAGCGGCCCTGTTTGCTTACCACCAGGTGATCCATCTGCTCGTATACCAGCTTATGACAAACAATATGTGATTTGTAACAAAAAATATAGTCAAGCAAACTTAATATTCAGCTCAATCGGTTGAACATACGTGCTTCAAAATTCAGTAGCAAGATTTCGCTTCACACACATACATTCATTCATACATATATGTATAGCAAGTTAAATAAACGCTTGCAATAAGAGAACCCAGAATCACCTACTCGAAGCTAAGAATCAGCCATTAAACTAAACTAAATAAAACAAACAGTACATAGTATCGTCGATAAAAAATGTATCGAACGCGAGAATACACAATATACACATTGTTGTACACAACAATAGCTGAGGTTTACAGTTACTCCGAGATGAGACTGGTTGACACAATAACACCGATCGACACAGCCACCGATACTCATATAGCTAATAATGCATTTGATATAAAACCGGTTCGATCATTCATAAATGGCTTTAGATTATAGGAGATAGCATTATATTTTCTTTTAACAAAAAGTAAAAGAGGCGAGTGGTATCAGGTATCTGTTTTGTACTCCTATTGGGAGTTTACTCAGCAAGGCTTATGGAACGCGAACATCGTGACCTGTGAATATTTGCAAAACCAAAAGTATAATTAAAAAAAAAATTAAGATCCTACTAACATTATAAATGCGAAAGTATATAAATGAAGAAACAACATTATGAATGAGGATGTATGAGTGTGTGTTTCTTTTTCTTTCATGTCATAACGACTGAAAGGATCGATATGAAATCTGAAACAGGGTGGGTGTTTCAAATTTCGATCCATGCATCCATCCATCCATTGTTCAAACATATAGGCCACTTTTAATCAGCGATCAGAAGCTAGTTATATCTATTTCACTCTTCTTAGTCTCATGTGTCTTATCTATGAGATACGTAGACGTCAAATCTTCATAACTGGTGTTATTCTTCAAATATTTATTCCAGATACTTTTGTTCAAAACCACACTTATATGTATGTCGCTAGGATACATTTTAGCATGCTTAACATTGAAATAACCAAAAAGGTTAATAACTACTAAACCTTAAAAATCAACAAACAAGTACAAATCATGCATTCATTAACAACACAATCAGTTCACCACTTTTTTCAAGGCAAAATCGTCCAAAAGAAATCTGCGTGGCAAGCAAAATGCGCCATTATTAGCAACAAATTCTGAACACACACCCAACTTTTTGTGCATACAATTTTGCTTAACAAATGCTATTTTCCTTTGTAGAAGAATTGCTATTCAATTGATAAAAGGAACATAAGGTGCAACTGCATTATAGTACATAGTAGACGTGCATTAGAATTGAATTTTATTGTAGTTTTAACAGGTATTGATAGTGAACAATGAGAGGAAGTGCTTTTATTTTGTCGTGGGATTGAGTTTCGTAAAAAGTACCAATACTGTGTACAGTACCAGTACCAATAATGGCTTTTTTTGAGGGAGGAAAACCTCTCCCGCCTTAGGTGAGGCGAGAGGGAGTCTCAGATTCTTAACTGACTATGAACCATCCCGTTCCTACTTTTGCTCTTCGAGACGTAGTCCTGGCAACCCTTTAGGTTCTCCACGGCTCCGTATCGGCGCGCCTTCTTTGAGACGCGCGTGAAAAGCGACGCGCCCTACCAATATTAGGTCGGTGTACCTACTCATCATTATCATTATATTAACAAATACATGATCGAAAACGTTAGCTGTGTTGTGACGACAACGTAAATTACATTTTTTTATGGGATAAGCCGGTAAACGAAGCCTGGACACCTAGGACACCAGAGGCCTTACAAGTTCGTTATCGGCATTTTGGGGATAAGGCGTTTGAGGATTGTTGGGGATTGAGGAATTGGGAAAATTGTGGAAGTAGTCGTATCGTATCATATCGTACATAACTTCACGCCTGTCTCCCATGGGAGTAGGCAGAGACTATGGAACGCGAATCACTACGAATTCTACATACATCTTTTGCTACATCAACAGTCATCAATCTGTTCATGCATGCATGCATGCGTCGGTTAAGGGTACTTTTAATTTAGCCCTTCTTTAATCTATCGCCAATCTGGTCAGTATATGTCCGCCTGGGGCGCCCTCTACCGGCCCCATTCATATCCTTTCTACATGCCCATGTCTCAAGAAAGTTATAATATAAATATATTTTTATCTTTTTATAATTAAGTTGATGTGCAATATTTCTCGCCAGATAATGTAGCAGATCAATAATATAGAGATTAAGATGAATCAACGAACCGTTAGAGCCTTCACCCAGTGACCTTCTTCCGAGAGCTTAAGCATAAACTTAAGTAAATATTGAACTTACAATGTCAACGGACAGACAAGACATTTCCAATCTTTAATCAAAGGAAGAAAGTTGGTTTTTGAGTGTTTGCGAACTCGTTTTGCGACGTTTTCTCCTTAGATGAGATGAGTGGACTGGGGGCAAATTTAAAGACACTAATGGCTTGATTTTTCAATCATGTTTGTTTATATATATGAATTTACATGTCTGTCCTTGTCTGGTAGAGCCAAAACGGATGGGATGTCAAATATCTTGATTGTAACGTTTTGCCATTCCACTCGCGTCATCAATTCTTGGCGTGTATTCCGATAAAGATTAAGTTACGAATAGACAGGAACTTAAAGTAGTTCTAAGTTCCGTATATCTTTACATAGTTTTTAGGTGTTTAAATGACGACATATGACAAGAAATTGAGTTTGATATTTTGACTTCATTCGTAACTTAAACCGCTTTAGAAAAAATAAAATATACATTAACATCAACAGCCTATAATAAAGCCACTGCTGACCAAAGGCCTCTTATGACACGGAGAAGGTTTAAGCATTAATAAGGTTGAATATACGCTTACTCAACGCGCCTTGGCAATTTCAAACATATAATTAGAAATTATAAACCCAGGCTTCTTCACGATGGTTTCCTTCATCGTTTGTCAGTGATGTCTAAATAATCTTAGATAGTATATATAACTCGCAAAAAGTCACATTGGTACTTGCCGTTGGTAGGTTTCGAACCCGCACCATCGTACATGAGACGTGGACGTCTTAAACCTCCGGGCTACCACAACTGTCTTAGGTAAATATTTGATTAAATATACAACTTAAATAAAACCTTCTTTTTCAGATTGAGGAAGTCTGGCTGGAAGGCCCCCGGGGAGCTTGGGAAGGATCCCGAGTGACTCAGTGGCAGCACGTGCGCACCCGACTTGGGCTGGCGCAGCTACAGTACCAGCTTGATGAACTGGCACCCACTGGGAAGTGGACACTTAGGGCTAGACTGTCTGATGGATCACAGGTGCGTTTTATATAAAAAAAAATTGGCAAAAAGAGGTTTATTTAAACTAGACAGCTTAATAAGCATATTATTTATGAGGAATTCTGTTAAAAGAGAAAATAAATTTTTCGCAACGATTCACATTTATTTGAATGCTAAGCCACGTGTTGCAGGTGTGATTCCTGCACATTCTCATTCATAACACAAAACCCAGATTCAGATCAATACAACAGATTCGGATTTTTTTGTAAACGTACGACCTAAAGAATATTATCCTAATGTGGGGTTAAGTTGATATAGAAAAAGAAAAAAACAAATGTTCTGTTTGACTGAGACTAAGCTAAAGATAAATCTGTGCTAACTTATTTATAAACCGTAACATTTAATCGATCAGGGCTCTTCAACGTTCTGGGTGGGTAACTACGAGCTACCTCCCTTCCAGCTGAGCGTTCGCCATGCACCCAAAGTGCTACGAACCAGCGACAGACTTGTATGGACTGTCTGTGTCAGGTAAATGAAATCAGATATTTTTTTTATCAATATACAGATGTGTACTACCCAAAACTAAAACTACTAATTAAATAAGGCTGAAGTTCCTTAAGCGATGATTGTTGTGATCGTTCGAGATCGTCCAGAACAAGTTATCTCTACAAACCTTACTCACGTACTGAGAAAGAAAGAGAGAAAAAAAAGAAAGAAAGAACAACATTTATACAGCACCAGACACGATGCAGCATAAGTAAAATACAAAAAGACAATAAAGGACGTGTGACAGCGAAAGTAAGAAAAATATTAAATAAAAAAATTAAAACAAAAGAATTAGAAAAGAGACGCTGACACATGCCTATGCTAAATAGGTACACTCAGTGTAAGCCAGGCATACAGCACTGATTTTCAGTGGGCACCCCTACTACCCATTCATATATCTTAATTTTCCATACAGAATATATTACTTATTTGTGATTACCAAGCACAAATTCAGGTCAGGGTAAAACACAAAAGAGCCAAAAGCCACCTGGTTTTATTACTTCTTTTTCATTTTCAGCGAATGTAGATAGCTAACATAAATAAATTCTGGCATCTTCAGATACCCATGGTCAGAAGCTGTGGAAGGTATGCTGGTGATCCGTCTCCGAGGCGCTGGAGGAGGTAGTGGAGGCATACGAACTGCGGTACAACTGAGAGCTCCCAAAGCCTGCCACCGACACGCTGCAGCTGCCAAGAGAGTAGGGCTGGATGGCACTGATCCTCCTGATGTTGTGGTAGCTGACTTCTCATTCCAGGTAAGAATTACTAAGACGTACTTGGCAAAATTTTGTATATTGTCGTTAGTATACTTATTTTGTACACATAACTAGTCTTCTGCGACTCTGTTTTTATAATAGTATGAAGTCAAACAAGACTCATTTTGTGAAGATATTCCCCTGAAAATGCCGCGGAGAACCTAACGGGATACTGGAGCTCCGGCTCGAAGTGCGTGAGTCTGACACTCCCGCCTCCCGCCTCATCCAGGCGGGAGATGATTTTCACCCCTTAAAAAATCCCCTAAAAATGTCACCTCCAGTTACCAATTCTCAAGTCTTCATCACTTAACACCAATGCTTCATTGAAAACAATTTCCCTTTCTGCCCGCAGGAGGAAGGCACAAGGATCTGGCAAAATACGACCGTGGTGTCACAAGTCGTGGACAAACCGATATCTTTGGAATTTCTGACCAAACACCGAGCAGTTATAGCTCCGGGACTACCGTACAGGCTCAAGGTGAGTTTAGTGATCAATTGGACTAAAGTCTTTCAAAGGTTTAAGAAAAGACTCCACTCCACTTAAGAAAAGACTGTGAGTGTCCAAGAGTAGATATAACTTAAGAAAATAAAGCTTCATAAAATTAAGAATTTGCTCTTATTGTCTTGATTCAGCAGCATGATAAGATATATCGTGGGAACTTGTACACACTTAGGTCATCATCATCATTGTTTTGGTTTTTATGGTCAACTTAGACGTTGCTTTTGTAAAAATAAATCAGAGTTTGATGCCACTTCGTCATCTGAATGTCATTGCTACTACAGCCAGTTTCACATGATCAAAATGGCTGTACAAAATAATCAAAGATAGGATGTAAACTAAAATTCAGAATTGTTGGTCAATAATTTTGTCGTGGCGAATTAATTATCATTAAGTGCATAGAAAAAACAAGTCGTACTTACTAACTTTCGCTGTAAACAGTTGTACTTTCGAACTAAGTGTCACCAAGTATTGTAAAACTCTGTTTAGATTAAGGACTCACGAAGCGATTTTCTCGCAAATCGCAGAACCACCATCCCGCAGTGGGCGCGGGTAAATATCGCGTCGTGAGTCCGTAACATTACATATATATAAGTTACCTGACTGTAAACGAACGAACGAAGAATAGATATCATAATAAGTTCTTTTCCTCTTTTCTATCCAGGTGAAAGCCACTCGTTGGGATGACAAGCCAGCGGCTAAAGAGGTCATCAGAGTCTGTCGCCACCAGTCCAGCTTCCCTGATAAACTGCAGCAGCCGATCAAGAAACGAGAGACTATGTGTGCTGAAGGTACCACGGATGACACCGGAGTAGCCAGGCTGCTGTTCTCTGCAGGAGATGATGCTTCTCCATTTTATAGATTTGAGGTTAGTATTTTATACCTAAACAAATCTACGTATAGTTAGTCTTGTAAAGTTATTTTAAAACTATCTCTCTCAACTGATCTGATTCTATGGGTGATCAGTATGATATTACATCAGACATACACAGTCAACAACTACAGAGATAGTTAGAAATGATACAAGAATTTCGATTACAACGAAAAATCTCGTTATTGTAAAACAATTATAACCAAGGGTAATCTGTGACCAGGATCATAATTTATCCTCTATAGAATCAACGATATCGCAATAAATTTTAGAATAGTTCACATAATCATAATCTGTTACACAAATTAGGATTCAGAATTAAAACTTCAACAATTTTTCCCACAGGCTCATTTATCAAACGACACGAGTATAGTAGCAGCTCCACTCACCCTGCCAGTACGTCGCTCGTCTTCCGTGCACGCAGCCCTCGGCCCTTTGAAAGCGGAGTCACGTCAAGCTCGGACCTTCGTACCTTTGTACCTCAACACCAACAACACTTCAACCCCATTTACTGTTCATTTCGTGGTACGTCTTACTCAAAAAGGATTGCTAGCCATTGTTGACTCATCATGCATCAAAATCATTTAATAATTTCTTTTTCAAGTCATCAATAAATTTTCTTATTAGCATTTGTGTTGTAGACTGTTAATCGCAATTACATAACATAACATCACGCCTTTTATCCCCGGAAGGGTAGCCAGAGGTGCACATTAGGCCACTATACAATGTAACACCCACTTTTCACTTTATGTTGTGAGTCCCATGTAATAGGGGGTGAGCCTATTGCCATATACCGAACACAATTCCAGACTCCGTGCTACTACAGAGTTTTATTTTAAAACCCAGTAATACTTTGCCCGACCCGGGAATAAAACCAGAGACCCCCTAGAAAGGGGTCAGGGGCTAACGAGGCAGTCAGTCCACTAGGCTAGTTAATCGCAATCATTCCACGTTAAAAGAGGAACATTTGACCTTTAATGATGTTAAGAATATATTTTAGTTTAAAGAAAATTCTTCTTCATAGGTCATAACACGAGGTGGCATCATCTACCGATGGGGAGCCACAACCCAATGTCCAACGTCAAACTCTGGAGACCAGATTCGCACAGCAGCACGGAACTCCAAGTGCCCAGATCTTGTCCAACGTGACGTCGTCATGACACAACGAGACCATCCAGTGACACAAACGACTCAACAGACTACTCAGGCCAAAAACCATAAAAGACAATACCGCAACACTGGTAGAATGAATCCTAGAACGCCAAGGTTCCAAATACCTGAACACAACATGTCCCTAGGAAATCAAGATGTGCTGATGAAGGATACTTATACTTTCAACGTTAGTACTGATGTGTCTGATGCTTTGCTGGACAGACATCAGTTGAGGGTGATGCTGCCGATAAAAGTGTCTCATCAGATGTGTCCTGACAGTCACTTGATAGCATACTTCTATCATGAAGGGGAACTTGTGAGCGCTAGCAAGCATTTCGAAATGGAGGAGTGTTTTTTCAACAAGGTAAGTAGATTATACGTGTGTCACAGCTTCATCATAGTCGAGTCGCGTAGAGTCGCGGAGAACCTAACGGGTTGCCGAGGCTCCGGCTCTAAGCGCAGAAGAAGGAACGGGGTGGTTTTTAGTCAGTAAGAGTCTGACACTCCCTCCCGCCTCACCCAGGCGAGAGCAGTCATTCGAATTTTCCACCCTTAAAAAAACCAATACCTCTGCAAATATTTTTTGACGATTGTGACAAAACTGAAATATAATCAACAAAATACATAAAATTCTCCATCTAGGTGGAAGCAACTTGGTTAAGCCGTCAAGCTCAGCCAGGATCTACAGTATCCCTTAAAGTTTCTACTCCTGGACCAGCGCTATGTGCACTCACAGTCTTGGACTCTGCAGCTAAGTGGACACAACCTCCTCAGCCTCCAAAGGAACAGCTTATGAACTCACTAAGAAGACTGATTGATAGTCACAGGAACCTGACAGAGTTTGATGCAGCTGGAGTCTGTTTTCTTAGTAAGTAGTTGGAGTTACTTTTTATCTAACCTAAATGTACGCAATAAGAATATCCATGGTCTCTACTGAATTTTGTACTTACCCTCCAGACTCAGACACCCTCGAGATCCCATCAGGCAGCGTAGACCTCACAGCTTCGTGGCTGGCTGCTGCAGGAGTTCGCTTGATAGGAGGAGACGTACCCAACAATAAACATTGCATACCTCGCCCACCAGCTCTTCTGCAAGCTGAGGAAACTAACACTCCGAGGTCTGACTTCTCTGAGGTAAGGGATTTCAAAAGTATAGTGACCTGGAACAAATGTTATGTCCTAGATAATGCACTATTAAATGAAAGCGAAGCGATGATCTATCGTCAGATATTTTTTGATTTGTTATTAAGAAAGGAATGATAAAACTGTGACGATTTATAAGTAAGTATGTGATTCACCAGATTTTGTTCCTACTGTCCTTTAGCTACTAACTGCTACTTATTCAATGTGCTTCTCTAAAGTTACTGTTCGATTCCCAGGCATGGCTCTGGCGCCTCCTTGGTATTAGCTCCAACGGCACTGGGACTGCAACAGCCAACGCTCCGGATTCCATCACCAAATTCGAGGCTGGAGCCATCTGTGTGTCAAGGAATGGAGTAGCCATATCACCACCTGCTGTTTTACAAGTATGTCCATTGCATTATGTCTCCTAGTTTAGTAACTTTACATTTTTAATGCCTTAAGAGCTAGGTTAACTTAAGAGGTACACTCATTCAATGTTTTAAGCCCCGTATAATAGAACTGCGGCGTTGATCAGATGGTCGCTCGCATTTTATTTATTTTTTGGCACAAACCGGTAAACGAGCAGACGGATCACCTGATGATAAGCAATCGGCGTCGCCCATGGACACCTGGAACACCAGAGGCGTAACAAGTGCGTCACCGGCTTTTTGAGGATTAGTAGTTTGAGGATTGTTGGAGATTCTGGGATTGGGGAGATTGGGGAAGGGGAAGGTAATTGGGCCTCCGGTAACCTCACTCACACGACGAAACACAACGCAAGCTTTGTTTCACGTCGGTTTTCTGTGAGGCTGTGGTATCACTGCGGTCGAGCCGGCCCATTCGTGCCGAAGCATGGCTCTCCCACACTTTAAAACATGTAACTAACAATAGAATAGTACCATTGCTCATTGCTAAAATACCTATTTATTCTGCCATAAACTATTTAATTATTACTTTGTATGGGCACCATTCACAAAGTTAAACAAAGTCGAAAGAACAAGAATTTAATTAACAAACAATGGACTTGAATTGAATCTTTTGTTTTGCCATAATTAAAGCTGTAAACACTTATGTTCGGAGATTCAAATACTACTTCAACTTTTGTATTTGGTTTTTTATAATTAATTTCAATTGTTATCTTTTTGTATAAGTAGGTACAACCACAATGCATCTAGGTATTGAATAAAAAATAATGTTAACGCAAATTTTTACTGCATATATTACTTAGCATTCATTTGCAGCTTTTCTCGCTAACAAAGTTGACTTCATAAATTATTATGTTTTCGGCTTACTCACGTAGTAATTTGACGAGGAACTCGACTAGTTTCAAGCCATGCTAAAGGCTCATATTCATGAGCAGCATTTCGCGACAGTCGCCGCGTCGCGGGTCGCGAAATGCTGAAATGAAACGAGTTCCTCGTCAAATTACTACGTGAGTAAGCCAAAAACACAATAATTTAATTAGTATGTGACACGAAAGTTACAATACAAAGTTGACTTCGTTTGAAGCAAACACTTTTTAAACTATACGTTTCTACGTCCAGGTGTTCCGTGAATTCTTCATCCATGCTGACAGTCCCAAACGCCTGCGCCGCGGGGATTCCACCATCATCAGATACAGGATCTTCAACTACCTGTATGAACCACTAAGTGTAAGTGTCTATCATAATTAAGACTCACCTAGGTCACAATATTTAGAATTTTCAAAAAATATTAACATAGTACGATAAAAAGTCATCATCATATAACATCACGCCTTTTATTCCCGAAGGGGTAGGCAGAGGTGCACATTATGCCACTGGACAATGTAACACCCACTTTTCAATATTTACGTTATAAGTCCCATGTAATAGGGGGTGAGCCTATTGATATATACCGGGCACAATTCCAGGCTCTGTGCTACAACTGAGATTTTTTTAAACTCAGTAAAATTTGCGACCCAGGAATCGAACTCGAGACCCCTGAGAACCTCTTGCCCGGCAGTCACAATTGCGACCAGTCGGCCAACGAGGCAGTACGATAATAAGCTATGAGTTTAAATGCAGAAGACTCTAAATAAAATTCCTTAAGCCTTAAAAGTTTATAATTTTTTAACGCACTAACATGATACGCTACAAATCAACTATAATATTTAAAAGATAAACCATAACTATAAAAGAAAGGGAAGGGTGTATTATTTGTTTTTTTTATGCGACAACGTTTGACCACTATCTCGCCTGGTGGTAAGTGATGATGCGATCTACGATGGAGCACGTCGTCCCATAAGCAACCTATTCACTCGGCCTTGAAGACATCCAGGTTATACCCTACAAGAAATACACCAGTTTAGCTTCTAATCTACAGTGGGCAGCAGATCAAATTATACTTTTCCGTGAAATGCCTTTATTAGAATTTCAACTCTATCGTTTAAATATCGATATCGAATATCGAATGACAAAAATTGGAGTTTGGAATAGGTTGGTGTGCTAACCACTGTACAGTTATAAATGATTTTCTACTCTTTACACACCACGCTTAATGCATCACGTTAAAATGTCTGACGATTGCATCCATCTCCATTTAAAGTCAAAGCTTTCCCAGCTGTCCCACTTCACATCATACAACCGTTTTTATTATTCATCATCATCAACAGCCTATAAATGCCCACTGCTGAGCAAAGCCTCTTCTCACACGGAGAAGGTTAGAGCATTAATCACCACGCTTGCTCAATGCGGGTTGGTGATTTCAAACTTATAATTAGAAATTATAAGTTAGGCCTAGGTTTCCTTGGGCTTCTTAGGTTTCTTAGGGCTCCAGCTCGAAGTGCAGGAGTAGGAACGGAGTGGTTTTTAGTCAGTAAGAGTCTGACACTCCCTCTCGCCTCACCCGGGCGGGAGAAGTCATTGGATGATTAACCCCCTCAAAAAAAAAGGCCTAGGTTTCCTCGCGATGTTATCCTTCACCGTTTGTCAGTGGTGTCTGAATAATCTTAGAAAGTATATATAACTCGGAAAAAGTCACATTGGTACCGTTGCCGTTGGCAAGTTTCGAACCCGCACCCTCATGCATGAGAAGTGGGCGTCTTAAACCTCCGGGCCACCGCGATACCGCGGTGTTTATTATTATCACCATAAAAAGAATTATTATGACTGCGATCTTCTGCATATACGACTGCCGAGTAAGGGTCTCAGATTTGATTCCCTGGCATTAATCATTTAGGGTGTTTTAACTTTGACATTAAAATTAGCAATATGTGGCATAGAACAACTACATAATTGACTATTTTTATCCCACCAGGTCCAAATCCAGATTCTGACAGATCCTCACGTCGAAGGTCCGAAAGAGCTGGTGGAATCAGCCTGTGTTAAGGCTCGGTCGTCCATCGCTCGTCGTGTAGAGATCCGCGCACGAGTCGCTGCGCCTGCGCGCATCAGTATACGAGCTAAAGCCGTCAGTGATGGCAACTGTGGCAATGTGACCAGTGGAAGAACTGGAGTCAGGTAACAATTATTTCTTGATACTAAATAGATATTTGATAGATAGAATTAATTTCATTGACTGCCTGAAATTGAGTCAGCTAATGATGTCTTAATGTGTACTTTGAATGTTAGTGTTAAAACTAAAAAGATTGTTTTGTTTTCGGCTTACTCACGTAATAATTTGACGAGGAACTCGACTAGTTTCAAGCTATGCTAGAGGCTCATATTCATGAGCAGCATTTCGCGACCCGCGACGCGGCGACTGTCGCGCTGCTACTGTAAGCCGAAAACATAATAATTTATTTAGTATGTCTCACGAAAGTTACAATACAAATATAAAAAGATTATTTCCCACAGTGACGAAGTGATCATTCGCATTGCTGTCGAACCCGAGGGAGTTCCTGTGCGTGAACAGAAGTCCATCCTTCTATGTGGAAATAGTAAGTCAAATGATGACATGATATCGTTTTTGTAGGAAGTGTAGGAGAGCCATGGTTCGGCACGAATGGGCCGGCTCGACCGGAGTGATACCACGGCCTCACAGAAATCCGACGTAAAACAACGCTTATATTGTGTTTCGTCGTATGAGTGAGGTTACCGGAACCCCCTTTCCTAATCCCTGAATCCCCAACGATCTCAAAACTACTAATCCCCAAAGGCCGGTAACGCACTTGTAACGCCTCTGGTGTTCAGGTGTCCATGGGCGACGCCAATTGCTTGCCATCAGGTTTCCCGTCGGATTGTTTACCGGCTTATGCCATAAAAAAAAACAAATCATTGGTTATGAGAATAACCTACTCCAATGACGGACGAAAATGCGATCAAGCTCATTTCAAAAATTCCAATTGACAGTTATAGAATAGCATACCAGATACCAAATCTTAAAGTATACTAAAATTCTATTCTGTTTCTGCAACAGATACGTCAGAAGCAGGCCCTTCTGAAGTGTTATGGACGTGGACACCAGTGAAGGCTGTGCCTGGTACTGAGACACTGACCATGTGGGCAGTCGGTGATGTTACTGGACCTCTATTAGCTGTGAGTAGAATTTATTTTATAAGAATGATACAGTATTTTATAAGTATTATTACTATTTTATAAGTATGACTGCACGGTTGTTGCGGTGGCTGGGCAACCGGCTGCCGTGGAACGTGTCACGGGTTCGATTCCCGCACGAGTTTATATACATCTTGACACCCAGGTGTCAAGATGTATATAAACTTGTATATTTGTAAACGCACCCACGACACAGGAGAAAATCCTAATGCAGGGCAAGGTTTTTAAAAAAATGAAAAGTATTATAAAGGTACGAGTCAATTCTCCTCGCAGCTTGCAAAACATTAATTATTCCAAAATTCAAATTCTTGGAATCGAGTTAAACATAACACATAATTTACCTCCTTCAAACAGGAAGCGGACTCCCTCCTGCAGATACCTCGAGGATGTGGAGAGCAGAATATGGCACAACTGGCTACAAACCTGTTGGCTTTGAACCAACTGGACCCTAACTCCATTACCGCCACCACCGCCAAGGAGTACGTTGCAAGAGGTACGTCTTTATCCATATCCTCGTGGGAATTATGCTGAAGTGAAGGTTTTTATCAACCTAGCTACTGGCAAGTAATGTGGGCAGGTGCTTTCTAATCAGAACTTTTTCAAAACATTGTGTGAGTTCTGCACCACTACCACTGCCTGGCTACAGGTACTTTTGAGCTCTTCTTTACAACATGTCGCATGTCGCAATAGTAAGAAACAAGCTCAGGACATTAACTCTCAGGATCCAGCTACTTGTTCACTGAATCAAAAATCTATACTAACGTGCGGTGTAGTATGGACAGCGTTTTCTTTTGTCTGTTTCTTTTTTTTTAATAATCTACAACACTAGTATTTTCTCCTGTGTCGTGGTTGCGTTCAGAAATATACAAGTTCACGTACACATGACACCCAGACCCGAAACAACAATGTGTGGATCACACAAAATTGCTCCATGCGGGAATCGAGCCCGCCACACGTTGCACGGCAGTCTTGAATTCAGATGAAAAAGGAAGACATCATAATTTTAAATTAATTATGTGTTCCAACGCAACCTTCCATGTTATCATGAACACCATTTTCTCGTCAGGATTTACGAGACAGCTGCAGTACGTGCACCCGTCGGGAGGATTCAGTGCGTTCGGACCGTCTGACGCCACCTCCTCCACTTGGCTCACGGCATTTGTTGTCAAACATATGAGGAGAGCTCATAAAGTAAGTCCAACAAGACATGCATTACCTTACATAAATAAAGATTTTAATTAAAATAATGAATCCTAAAATTTTCTGAAATCTTCAAGATAAATTCAAGTTTAAAGTAACTATTATAAAACTCTGAATTAGTGATATTATCAATATCTTACGAAATAATGCAGCGGTTACGGATTACTGTAATGGTTACAATTTTCAGCTCTTATGGCCAAATCTGCAAGTCCCAACAGCAATCATCCGCGCAGAGCGGTGGCTTCTCAACCAGCAGATGGAAAATGGATGCTTTAGAAACGAAGGACAAGTCTTTCATAGAGAACTTAAAGTGAGGATAAATACATAAAACCTAAGCTTAATTTAGGAACATTAAAACTACTTAGCAACTCAGCTTATGTGGGAGAGCCATGCGTCGGTTCAACCGGAGTAATACCACGGCCTCACAGAAGACTTGAACTTGAATATTATCGTTGACCCATTATCTGGAGAAAATGATTCCAAGGAACCTGTGAAAGCCTGATTTAAACCCCGTCATCAATATATTTTTTTTATGAGATAAGCCGGTAAACGAGCACACGGATCACCTGATGGTAAGCAATCGGCGTCGCCTATGGACACCCGAAACACCAGAGGCGTTACAGGTGCGTTACCGGCGTTTTGGCAATTAGGATTTTGAGGATTGTGAGGGATTCGGGGATTGGGGAGACTGGGAAAGGGGGTAATTGAGCCTCCGGTAACCTCACTCAAACGACGAAACACAACGCAAGCGTTGTTTCACGTCTGTTTTCTGTGAGGCAGTGAGATATTAGTAAAGTCTTGATTTTACTTCCATTTATAGTTTATTTAACTGCACATTTTCTTTTCAAGGGAGGTCTCAACGACGAAGGAGAAATTGCGAACGTCGCCTTAACAGCTTACGTCATAACGGCTCTCATTGAGAGTGCCTCACCGTTCCCTCACCGCGTCATCCGCAACACCCTGTCTTGTCTCCGAGCTTTACCTCCAATGAAGTCCAAAACTCCCACCAGGGTTTATGCCAATGCTCTCTTAGCGTATGCATATATGAAATTGGATCGGTATGAAGAAGAACTGAGGTATACCAATGAGGCCAGCTTGAGAAGAATGGTAGGAGGGCTCGAGCAGGATGAAGGAATAAAGCAAGTGCTTAACCTGATGAAGATGGCCAAGAAGAGTGGGCAGTACGTGTGGTGGGAGACCAGTGAGTTGGAACCTTTTCTAGTTTTTATGCAAACCACGAAGACGACCACTCATGACGAACTCTCATCCATCAGCATATGTTGCTCAGTAAATGAAGGAATTACAATTTAGAAAAGCCTGTCATATCCCCTTTTTTCGAAGATCATTTGTATCATTACCGAAAGTTAAAAAAACGAATCTTTCCCAGGCAGCCTATCAACCTCAATCGAGGCGACATCGTACGCGCTGCTGGCGCTGCAGAGTGCGCGCGCGCTGCCGCCCGCCGCGCGCGCACTCGCGCCGCACGCCGCGCGCTGGCTCAACTCGCACCGCACGCCCACTGGAGGGTTTATATCCACACAGGTATGACAATTTTTTCTATTTCCTAAGAGTTTTAAAAATATCTAACTAATTAAAGATATGATTTAGGGCGTTGTCGTTAAAAAGATAATGATTAACTAAATGACGTGGAAAGGGAATGCCCTAGCATTCCCTTTTCACGTCATTAAGGGCATTGAGCTTTGAGCGCTTGGACTTAATAAAGGTAGATATATTTATCCTTACGTGGCAAAGCCTATTTCTGCATTGACCTCCAAGGAGCTACCAATCGTACCGTTAAAAGTGAAAACCAAACAAAATAATTTCATTCTAGGTCCATGTATCGAAGTCTCTACACAATAAATATTAACACTTCTTTCTCCTTAGGACACTTTAGTAGCCCTAGAAGCGCTATCAGCCTGGTCTGCTCAGACCGTGGAAGCCAACCTCAATGTGACGGCGCGCTGCAGCAGACTGGACCACCGAGTTACTCTGCAGCCAGGAATCAAGATACCTGATGTCGTGAAGATGAGACCAGGGGAACGACTTACTGTTTCTGTCGAAGGTAATAGATGACTCCATGACTTTTCTTGATTTTTGTGCATAAATTCAAATTGGCAGTAGACTGACTTACCACATTTTTGATTGCGTCCAATTGCCGTGCGGTCGGATGAGTGTACAAATGCATTTGCATTATACATGGTTAATCTATTTCATTTCTTTCGTATGGCATCAGTCACTGAGAGAATATTTTGAGAATATAATCATTACTTTTTTAACCACACCTCTCACACAATATTTTTTATATACCACGACAATGGTAAAACTGATGGTAAGTGGTATGGTGATGGTTACTGTAGCTTATGAACGCTTTCAACACTTGCATCAACCCTTAATAGATCTAACTCATTTCTTGAAGAACCCTATATTGTCACCCACCGGGAAAACTTTGGCAGGAAGTTCATTCCATAATCAGAGGACCAGTTCCATAGTCCGTGGGAGGAAATTCCTCTGAAACCGAACTGTACGGAACGAAAACTACTGTACGAAAAAGTTAATAATAATTCATTCCTATAGTTACTCAGCCAACATTGCATTAACAAATACTCCCAGTATGAAACTCCTTGCTCAACAGTCACACTTGTGACGAGTCCATCAACAACACATTTACAAAGATCTCGTCTTCCTCCAGGGACGGGCTGCGCTCTGATCCAAGCGACGCGCGCGTACCACGTGACGTCTGTGGGCGCGGCGCCGCGCGGCACAGTGCTGGGCGTGCAGGTGGCGGTGCACACCGACGGGCCCTTCGACTGCGACCACAACGCCACCAGCTGCTACTGCGCAGCTGTTATTGAGGTATGGACATGTATAGCGTACAAAGGTAGGTGGGAACTCTAGTGGCTGACCTGTGTTCAGCTTTGAACGTGAGCGAGAACTAGAAACATAATGTTTTTACTGTTAATAACTCTGCCTTTCCTTTTGCGAAGTATACGACATACCTAAAGGTGTCTAAAGTAAACCTGGAATACTCTGGAGTATAAAAACTTTTTTTAATTTATTTCTGTTCTTCCAGGCGTGTGTGCTATGGACTGGCAGTTTCCCAGAGATGGCTCTTATGGAAGTCACTCTCCCCGGTGGATTCGGAGCTGATGCACAGCTTCTCTACTCACAACTTGGCAAAACTTCTTCTTGTAAGTAAATTCTTTTTTACCTATTGTTTTAATATTTAAGTTATTTTATATTTAAATTAATTGGCCATGCGATTGTACTTGTTTAATACTGAGCTCCGGAAAGCTAGACTTAAGCCAGGGAAAAATTAAACTAAGGATTGAGTATATTCTATCTATCTATTCTATCTACAAACTCCTCATAATTATCAAATAATTAATTTGAATTACACACAAAAATCATATGCATCCACAGTGCTACGTCGCATAGAGTTGACACCATCGAACTCCCGAGCGACCTTCTACTTGGGTACTCGCGATGGTAGCGACACGAGTGACCACGTGGGACACCAGTGCTACAACATACACGCCACAGGACCTAGGGTCAAGACACGACCAGCTTACGCCAGGGTCCAGGACTATTACGTGCCTGCCATCAATGATACACAGGTAATTAAGTTTTTAATTTATCACTTATTAGGAAACAACCAGTATCACCACTGTGGAACACCCACAACACCAGAGGGTGTTGAATTACAAAGGCAAGCCGGCTTCCTAGACTTTCATGAAAATTACTATAAAAATACTCTAAAGATATCTTACTAATACTTGTTTCTTTTCAAGGTATACACTATACCCGAAGAATGTCCACCACGCATCGTACACGAGGCCAACGACTACCGAACCTCAGACAACTTGTACTCAAAAGCAAGAGCCACTAACAGTGACGATATTGTCATCACACATGAGTTCTCTTTTGAAGATATTCCAGAAGGCATACCTCTTGAAGATCCACTCATTTATGACCACTTAACTGAGAACGAAAACTATAGAACACCGGAAAATCAACAAGAAGTTGGTAAATTACAATTCAATGACATGAATACTCAGAACGACGGACAAAGTCAAAACGTCACAGATGTCCGTACACCACCAGAAAATTTGAAAACCGAGGAACCTACGGAACAAGTACACAGTAATTTCGATAACGTTGTAAATGGATATTTCTGTGAAAACGATGCGACGACCATTTCCAACATTAACGATATTATTAACACGGGAATAGGAAAGGATAATACTTTCGCTAATACTGCGAGTGGTGTTGTTAAGCCCGATTATCAACCGATCAGTTTTGGTAGTGCGCAGTATAAATCAAATAACCGTAACTTTGAAAATATACTTGATGAAAACCTTCACACTGCTGCTGATGATAGCGCATCTAACCATGAAAAAGCAGATAACACTGACTCATTTCTTGAAAAGATTGATGATATTACAAGATTGAGTGAAGAAATTGATACAATTCATAGACAGTGGCATTCTGGAGAAAGTTATCATCACTTTCCTAATGCTATTAAAGAAAATACTGATACAAGTAATACTACAATTACAGTATTGCACCAGAACTTTAACCCTCCTCCTGATAATCAGATCACTCAAAGTGTTCTTAGTGATGCGATCAATCGCAATTTAGAATTAGTAAAAGGATTAAATGAAACATTACATTACCAGAGCGCTTTAGATAAAAAAATAATTGAGAGTTTAGTGTCAAATAAGGCCACGGAGAAAGATTCGAGTAACGAAAATTTAATGACAATTGAGGATTCTCAAGGAGATCAGCAGGATGCAGACTTAATTGATAGTGATAACATATCAACAGAACTTAAAAATAAAGCTATGAAAAATAATGATGAATCACAATTCGATACAAAGAACAATCTAGTGCATGAAATAGACACTTTGAATAAAATCGCACATAGACAACTTAATGAAACACGAGCGAAATATGACGTGCATCATATAGACTATACACAAATGTACGCACAAAAGTCGGATATGGAGTTTATGAGCAACAAGAACTATAAAAATGTAGTAGATAACTATTACGGACCAGGTAGTAGAGATAATGAAATAAAAAGATCATTTACAGACCACTCACCGGCCGCACAAGTGCCAGAGCAAATTATATATAATTCTGATGAATATAAAGATCAAAATGATAAAGTAATAAATAACCCAAGTTTAACAGACTTCCATGTTATAGATACAGACAAAGATTTAGAAGTTCCACCGGGGATTGAAGGGCCTGTAGCAGTTTCTGTGCTTCCACCTCCAGGCTATGTGGCGCCGGTGGTTGCGGGAGACGCGAGGAGACTGAACTACAAACGCAAACCATTCGAATATGCCCATCGTGATGAAGTTCCACCACCCCGAAATTTCGTGCCACCGAGACAAGGTCAACCAAAAGTTCCTAAGTTATCTTTAGACATGGATCTATCATTTGGGGATGATGTGCCGGGAATTTTTGAGTCCTATCCAGGTTACCAGCAGCCACTACCATCTCACGGGTATAGAAGAATGCTGTCTTCGTATACAGGGTTCCCTCAGTATCCCGTGGATCGAGTGATAAGAACTATGGTGCCCCCCAAACGGGATGCTCAGGACAAGAATATGAAAAGTGTGCAAAGTATTTACACGCCAAATGGACCGTATTTCTATTTCAAGCCAGATGGTGAGGATACCGTTGAGAAGTTCTTCATACCTGTACGTTGATTTGTTTGTAGATTTGTGTGTTTTTTGTTGCATTTATTTAGTGTAGTATAGTCTTAGTGTGTGTACGTGTAATTTGACTGATTTTAAAGTCTATTTTTATGAAATGTAACAAATGGACAGAGGATTTTGTTCTTTATATTCAACAATGTTAGATAAATTTTATGATAATTTCTATCACATTATTGTGACCTTTAACAGTACACTAATATAGATATTGGGTATGACTGAGTTGATACGAGAACTAGACAGTATGACTGTGTAGAAACTATTCCTAATGCTATAGACGTTATTCTATACTATTTAATTTATTTGTTTAATATTAAAACTAAATTCTGATATAAACCAAAATAATGCCTAAAGAATAAATCACTATTTAAATATTCCTTTCCATGTTCATCATAATATAAAATGAAGTCGGTTAAAAATAGTAAAATATGAAGACTGCAACCAATGACAATAAAATTACATTTTGAGTATAGATTATAATACATTAATCACTTATATATCGAACACAAGTGTGTGTCATCCATCACTTAAAAAACAATATGAGATCACTAAAGTTTTTTTTTATATAACTATTTCTGATGGCAACGTTTGACCACTATCTCGCCTGGTGGTAAACACGCGATGATACGGTCTACGATGGAGCACGTCATCCCATAAGCAACCTATTCACTCGGGCCTTGAAGACTCCCAGGTTATACCCTTCAGGAAATCCAGACTGTGGCAAAGAATTCCACTCCTAAGACTGCTAAGGAGTGGAATTCGAAGACGCAGTTTTTATAACGTCTAATTACTTATTGTAATGAGACCTCTTTGTCAAAAAACTGCATTGTATGCAAAATTATGCGAATGATTGCTAGATACAAGACTTGCCAACTAATGCAGATTCATTTGTTTAATGTTAATAAAAGTATGCTACATTCATAGGTATCAATTATGGTATTAAAGTGATCGAATTTTGGTTTTCTTCCAAATATCTTATATTGAAGAATATAAGAATATAGAATATTCGAAGTAAATTGTCGACGTATTCTTTAAAACTATACTGGACTTTAATATTTACAAATTAGGTTCTTAAACAACAGGCTATCAGTCGCTAAATCACAAATTTCATTTAAAATTTTTACGATTGAATGAAAATGTGACTAAGTACTGTAATATTAAAACAAAGATGGCTGCTATTCTTTCTATTTTCGAAAGATTAAATTTAGTTTAATATTATACTTAATGTTAATAGTAATAAGAATCCTTTTCTCTTTTAAGTCTTAGTTTCTAGTTAATAAAACAGATTGTACAGATATAATCTTAAACTTGCTGGTGCTTTTAATGGGGACGATGATAACATTTTTTCAGTATAAAAAAACGATTACGAAAGAATAATATTCCATTTGTACAAAACTGCTATAGTGACGAAAATCCGATACGTCAAGTGACGTCACGTCTTAATACACTTTAACTGTGACGTGGTTAGTCCCAGCACTATTTATTTTTATTATAATTTGAAATAAAAAAATAATACAAAATAAATTTTACCTTGTCATCATCCCTATTATTGTCATTCAAAAATAAATGTAAGATTAAGAATAAATAATAATTATGACTTAAAAGATAAGTATAACTTATAATAAGTAATTATTTATTTTTACTATATAACATGTAGTTGGTCTGTAATGTTATTTAGGCTGTGAATAAAGTAAATGAATGTGTGTATTTGCGTATTATTTTCCTTGAGGAAATGTTTAATGTGTTATTAATAGTTCCTTCTATTTATTCCTACTTCGTGTATGTATTACATTTTCTATACAATACTTAAGTTGGTACTTGTCTTTAATTTCTGCATGTCGCTAAGGGCTCAATAGAATACTAAAGAAAGAACTTGCCTTATGCTGAACTGCTGGGCTATTACTGTGACTCGAACTTTCAAAGTGAGCTCCATCGCATTCTCGCCCGTCATTGGTCGAAATTAGTAAAATTGACATTAATTGATAGAATTGTCAAATATTCAAAGTTATTACTCTGATAAAATTTAACTGAGCATTAAAAATCGGGCCTTAGCGTGCCGAACTACGAGTGGTCCTATTAAAAAAAAAAACATTTTAATCTGTGCAATTTCCTGAACCTACATATTATGTATTTATAAAATGACCCCTTCTGACCGGGGTGCTGAATAAATACCAAACTACCACATAGTACACAGGTATTCTATCGTAAGGAAATCCTTCAATTACCATAATTAACATTACTCACTACATATGCATGTAGGCCACATAATATTCCACTACTCCGCGTCATGATGACGTCAGAGGATGACGTCACTTCTGACCTTTTTATCCCTTGCTGCAAACGTGCAACGGAAATTCAACCATACAAAGTTATAGAGAAGGATGAAATTCTATTGAAGGGCCAGTGTGGTAGGTTTATGTGCTAGCTGTTCATCTAGTCACCACTTCAGAGGTCACTTCATCTGATAGATGAAAATAGTTTGCGCTTTTCAATCAAGTGTTGTAGTTGAGGGTTTTATAGGGATACATCTAACTATAAGTATTTTTTATCCTTTTCTTTTTTAGGTTTAATAAGTTGTTTTTTAAAAGTTTTAAGTAACAAGGAACTACGGATCATGTAGATCACGCCGCTACCAACAATATTGCCTATGCAACATAACATCACGCCCTTTATCTCTGCAGGGGTAGGTAGAGGAGTACACGGCAATTAATGGCACTGTACAATGTAACACCCACTTTTCACTATTTATGTTATGAGTCCCATGTATAGAGGGTGAGCCTATTGCCAGACTCCGTGCTACTACTGAGACTTTTTTCAAAATCTACTGGATTTTCCAGTATTTTATTAGATTTAGATTTTCTAGATATTATATTGCCTATGCATATGATAATTAAAGTTTTTTTTTTTGGGATAAGCTGATAAACGATCAGGCAGATCACCTGATGGTAAGCAATGCCGGCGCCGCCTATGGACACTTGAAACACCAGAGGTGTTACAAATGCTTTACCGGCCTTTTGGGGATAATTATTGGGGATTCAGAGATTGGGGATGGGGATAATTGGGCCTTCGGTAACCTCACTCATCAACAAAACACAACGCAAGCGCTGTTTCACGTCGGTTTCCTGCTCGGCCGTGGTATCACTCCGGTCGAGCCGGCCCATTCGTGCCGAAAACTTACACTCAACCACGACGAATTTGAAGTTCTATAGAATTTATGACAAAAATAAAGACCGTTCTAGAAATTTTGGATTAAGATGGATTATTGAAATTATAGTAGGTACTGTCTCTAATTTGTAACCCCACACTCGTTATGTTTAAAGAATTGTGAATCACACAATTATTTTCAAGAGGCGGAATCGAAGCCGTTTTACGCTGCGAAGTTGTCGGTCACTGAACTATTGCGTCAACCGTAGGTACATTAATTACAAGTTTATTTAAGATTTCTTTATTTATTTAAAGTTAGTTTATTTAACAGCTTTTTAAAAGAGCAGCAACGCACCTGTGACTCCTTTGGTGGGTGGCGCTAATCGCTTACCGTAAGGTGATCCTTCTGCTAGTGTTCCTACTATCCCATAAAAAATATTTAGCTTTCATCATCAACATCATATCAGCCACTCATTCATCCACTGCTGAACATAAGACTGCCTAATGTAGCTCATTTGGAAATGACCTACATCTAGCAACTCCTTGCTACCTTTTAGGTGTTCTAATCATCATCCAGCGCTGCGCTTACCCTTAGTACATACAATAAAAGTCAAATGTTAAATAAATACATAATAACATCACGCCTTTTATCTTCGAAGGGGTAGACGGAGATGCACACAGAGGTAACATCCACTCTTTTTCACTTTATGTTATGAGTCCCATCCCATATGATAGGGGGTGAGCCTATTCCCCTATTTGTACGTGTGTTTGCCCTATTGTATTGTTAAATAAATAATGTTTCAAACATCATCATCCTCATCGCCGTCATAGGTCATCTCATAACACACGGAGCAAATCTCTTTCCACTCGGAGAACGAAAGAGCATTAATCACCACGCTTGCTCAAAGTGGGCCATTTCAATATAATTTAAATTTTTACTGTAAACAGATAACTCGTTCCGTTGCCCGTTCTATACAAAACAACGTTATCAATACTAAGTACTGGCTTCCTCAAAACTGCAAATATTTTATCAGTGAGTAGGTAGGTACCTACATTATCTCAGTGCTTTGAGTGGACGTCCGATAATAACATACGATTTACCGTTACTATTATGTTGTCTTATTTATATAAATATTTAGATTCTGATGTACTTTTGCTTGACTATAACTGTAATGGACATTTTAATCTTAAAAGTTACCGAGCCATTTTTGGTAGGTAGATGATGATAATCATATTTGTTTTGTCGATCATTTCGACTTTTATTTTCTTATAAAAACGTTGCCCCACACTAGGATGTTCTCCTGTGTCGTGGGTGCGTTTACAAACATACAATTTCACATACACATAACACCCAAACCTGAAACAACAATTTGCGGATCACACAAAGAGTTGTTCAGGAATTGGATCCGCTACACATTGTGCGGCAGCTGGTTGCCCACCCACCACACCAACGATGCAGTCGAGTCAAGTTTTGGGTATAACGTTTATTATAATCGTCTGCTGGTTTCCCCCAGTAATAGACATAAGGATCTTCAAGAACATGGTAATAAAGTCGATAATTCACACATCAACTGCTCGTGAGAGCCTACTGGATACTGGACTATATGCCTCATCTACCAAATAGGTGTTTGTCATAAGTTCCTACGCTTAGCTGTTGAGTTGGAATGCGCGAAAAAGGGTCAAGTTTAATCTAAAAATGCAGCTAATCCGTCCTTAAATATGCTGTCTTTAAGTCGTTATAAATTTTATCGATGGAAAGGTGACCTTGGCTAAAATGGACTTATGGACACTTAGGAAACGTCGAACATAGAAAAATACTAAGCAATAGTAGGTACCTATATGTCATTGAC